GGTCTCAACTGTCTGTAAAGGCTGTCGTTGACCCAGATAAAGTTGACCAAGGATAAGTCTTGCAGAACACAGGTTGGCTGGCCAGCAAGGCTCCAGATGATGTTTTGAGCCACTGAATATTTACTCAAAAGTTATCATTCTCATTGAGCATGTTGAGTATTCCTAGTTTTGGTCTTACATTTCACTGATAACAGGGCAAGAACAAGAACAGGCTTTAATGTTGAGTTTTACATTTTCGAATTGAATGAAATGTTCAAATGTTCCCACATTTAAGAAAATAAGGATTGTTTTTGCCCAAATCCCAATTTTGAACAAAATTTTGTTGTTTTCCTAATTTGTCTCCCAAGGTGACTAAGTATGGAATCTTAGCTAACTCTCACCCAGTTGCTCACTGGGGCTGCAACGAATACACTATGAGGCGAATATGATTCATATCTCATTATCATGAATATAGGGTTACGAATACGAATATTAATTTACAAATACAATAACAAGTCAGCAGCTGATGTATTATTTGTTATATTCAGTGAAACGATAACGAAAATTATTTGACATCGTTTGTTAACTATTAATATATTATACATTTATATACTGCACTTATCCAGGTACTAGTATCTGCTCAAATGCAACAATGACCAGTGACCACAATACTGTCAAATTACATATTATATGAGTGTTATCTCTGAATAAATCTATGCATATGATATGTTCTTATGGATATTTTTAGGTACAGGGTATGTGAATGCACATGATTGCATATCCATAAATATTTGATTCTAGTGGCCACGAATAACGAATTCAATTATGAATGGATATGGTTTGATTCACCTAAGATGCGAGTGAATCGTAACAGCCCTATTGCTCACGCTGAAGAAATGAATGAATATGGTTTTATCTGCTTTTAGCAGTAATTCAGCAATATCACGGCGGGGGACCAGAAATAGGCTGCACATATTCTGCCCTTGTGGGGAATCAAACCTTGGTCTTTAGTGTGATGAGCAAACTCTTTAACCACTAGGCTACCCCACTGCCCCTCACCCTGGAGGAAGAGTGTGACAAAGAGAACCATCCTTGTGTTATGAATAAAACTACAGCAGCAATCCTCCACTACCATATTACTTTTTACCTGTATGAGGGAGTGGGATATACAGTGTTGAACATGATCCTGGGGCCCTTCAATGTAGATACCATCTAAATTTTCAACTTGTAACATTAGGATTATCATAGATTAAAGCTCTGAAAATGTAATTTTGAAAGAAACAAGCAACTACATCCTAAATTGAAAAGGAGCCCGAGTGAGATTGGAGCCTGAACCTGGAGAAAATCTAGACTTGATTGATTGAAAGCTGTAGCATTGCAGTAAGGGCTGGGCGGAAGGGGAAATAATCTGGTTCAGGGACTGTGAAATAGACAAGGGTTATGACAGAGACTTCATTACTTACAATCTTAACTTTTGAATTGTTCCGTTTTTGAAAAATTTAATTGTGTAAGAACCTTTTTCCGAAGGCTGATAGACTTCAGTATTTTTATGATTCAGACGTTACGTTATTATGAGAAGTAGAATAATAATATGCTGACATTACGCCATCACAGGGCAGGACTGCTTGTACATCAATTGTCTATATATATTTACAGACATGCTCATAGTAAATAATATTGCTCATGTTGTGTCTAACAATAATCACACACACACTCTTTCGCTCACTCCAGTGAAAATAAAATAGGGTTGCACATCTCTTTAACGGTATGTTTTAAGGGAACAATTGCATTAAACAAGCATGTATTTGGCAGCTGTCTGTTATAAACAGTTTTCATGCCAGAACACTTGGTACTATCGTCCATCAGACTAGTTAGCAGTGCTGAGCAAGACCCCTAGCGACTGTCAGCAGACATGAGCTAGGTGATGGTGAGGCTAGGGTTAACTGCCTGCAGCGCTTGATAGTAAACTGAGCCCAGTTTATAGATGTTTTTACTGGTTCAGCGTCAGACAGACTCGTTCAGATGTGCAAGTTTGCTGGATGAGTCAACTGAGGTATTGAATATCAAAGAAATGTTGTAAGACTAGTAGCATTGTAATTACCAAAGCTTCTTCTTGTCAATGCGGTTTGAAGGTTTGCAAACCATGAGAATAGCTACATTTGGCATCAGCCTATGGGGTTGCATATGATGTTATATTTTATTGCAACAATATGTACTTTAGCCGCTTGACCGAAGCCTGTTTCTACTAAAATTCTGTTCAGTCTAGTGAGTGAGTCGGTGAGTTGGGTTTAACTCCACTTTTTAACAGTAGTCCAGTTATATCACGGCGTGTCAGCTTAAAGTGGGAGGACCAATGGTGTCTGCCTCTGCGGTTGTAACTAAATAGTCAGATAGCCTTGACTTGCTTAGCAAGAACATATTTGATAACAAGTCTACCAAAGGACAAGGTATGCATGGTATGATAAGGGCTGTTTTTGATCTGCATACCTTAAGATCTGAATACCTTAAGAAGTCCCTTTGAAATTTATCTGATACCTATGAACATGATGAAGGATAGTTCATGTCAGCAGTTGCATGTTGTGGAATTATGACACACCTTGATGTTTCGAAATGCTAATGTTTGAGTTTTCAAAGAGTTTTTTATATATATTTCAACATAAAGAAGTCCTTGACCAATGCTGATTTTCATAGGATATGTAAATAAAGACAGGACAAACACAGGGGAAGTATTCATCTTGGGTCACAGACTTGCTCATTCTTAGAATATCTCTTGAAGGTCTTAAATTGCCCATTTTAGTCACATTTGCATTCAACTATTTAATTGTGACTGATTAGTTTATATCAGTATTTCAAAGGTTTGCCCAACATTTTATAATTTGACATTTCCAGTGGCCCAAGAAGTACCCTTACCCTACGTCCTCCTTTACCAAGACCTAACCAACTTCCATCTGTCATTGTGATCCGTGAAGATCCGGGGTAGAATAGGTCTTCACCAACCCATGCTTGCCGTAACAGGCGACTATGCTTGTCGTAAGACGCAACTAACAAGATCGGGTGGACAGGCTCGCTGACTTGGTTGATGCATGCCATTGTATCCCAATTGCATGGATCGATGATCATGATGTCAATCACTGGATTGTCTGGTCCAGACTTGATTATTTACAGACAGCTGTTATATAGCTGGAATATTGCTGGGTGCGTTGTTAAACAACAACAACAACAACAACAACAACAACAACAACTGTCATTGTACAAGAAGAACAGTTCACCTGAACATTATTATTGACTTCCTATACATAATCATCATGGAGAGATGTTTTGTTAAATCACTTGGAGTTGAGGAACAAGAAGTGTGTTAACACCTGGAGCTCTGTTACCTGGAGGCTCGTTACATCACACTGACCCATGTTACTGCATCAACAGATTGCTGATGGCTACAGATAATTTCCTCTAGCAGGAAATCACAGGGTGCCATCTTGGTTCTGTCCCTTTCTCTTTACTCTCCAACATTCCTTCATTCCACTAAGGAGCTGTTCCATCTGGGAGACTAAAGCAGCCACGTTTCTTTAAACACGTCCAGAAACAGCCCATCCCAGGTGTGTGGCTGGGAGGAGAGAATGGAGTTGTCTCTTTGGTGATGGGAGGTAGTGTTGTTTAATGCTGCTGTCAGCAATATTCCAGCTCCATTACGCGGCTTGTAAATAATTAGTGTGGAGCCTGGACAGGGTAAGGTGGAGTTTGACAGCATGAGAAGTGAGCTATGACGTGAGAGACTGATGACACAGCCACGTCACAAGTACGTCCAACTGATACACATTTTAATCAACTCTTACGACAAGCATGCAGGGAGTTAACCAAGCAAGCTAGCCACCTACCCCAAAGGGGTTGGATGAACATGATGAAGCAGTGATATTGAAGCTCTTGTTGATGAAGTGGAGCTAGTACAAGTAGAGCTCCTGTTGATGAAGGGGGGTAGTACTAGTAGAGCTCCTGTTGATGGAAGGAGGCTAGTACAAGTAGAGCTCCTGTTGATGAAGGGGGCTAGTACTAGTAGAGCTCCTGTTGATGAAGGGAGACTAGTACTAGTAGAGCTCCTGTTGATGAAGGGAGGCTAGTACTAGTAGAGCTCCTGTTGATGAAGGGGGGTAGTACTAGTAGAGCTCCTGTTGATGAAGGGAGGCTAGTACTAGTAGAGCTCCTGTTGATGAAGGGGGCTGGTACTAGTAGAGCTGTTGATGAAGGGGGCTGGTACTAGTAGAGCTGTTGATGAAGGGGGCTAGTACTAGTAGAGCTCCTGTTGATGAAGGGGGCTGGTACTAGTAGAGCTCCTGTTGATGAAGGGGGCTTGTACTAGTAGAACTCTTGTTCATGAAGGGGGCTAGTACTAGTAGAGCTGTTGATGAAGGGGGCTAGTACTAGTAAAGCTCTTGTTTGATGAAGGGGGCTGGTACTAGTAGAGCTCTTGTTCATGAAGGGAGGCTAGTACTAGTAAAGCTCTTGTTGATGAAGGGAGGCTAGTACTAGTAAAGCTCTTGTTTGATGAAGGGAGGCCAGTAGAGCTGTTGATGAAGGGAGGCTAGTAGAGCTTGTGTTGAACATGGGAGCCAGGTATTGTTGATAATTGGAGGCCAGTAGAGCTTCTGTTGATGAAGGGAGGCTAATAGAGCTCTGGATGTCATTGCCAGTGAGGTAGAATCTTGATAATATATTTTGAAGGTTTCTTTAATGTTGGGTTTCAGTTCATTCATATTTTATTTCCTGGGTGTGACATATACAGACTTCCTGATGATGACTATCACATTGAATTATTTTCTTTTTAACAAAGTCACACTTGTTGAGTGAAAAATACTGTTGTCATCATTTAGGATGTCATTTTACAGTTATTTCTTTCTATTTTTCAATGAATTAGCTTTTTATGTTCCATTGAACAATTCCCACGCATATACTTCACATTTATGTTCCAATATTTCATCCATATGAGTCAACAATCCTTAACAATACTGCTGTGTTGTTTGTTGTAGATGCCCTTTTGGCTGACCTGCAGTCCACGACACAGAACATATCCACATATCAGCATCAGATCAATCCCCCAGCGCAGGTGATCACCAACACCAATAGGGACAGCTCTGCCTCAAGCCGTGACTCCAGGAGCTCCACCCCCCCACTGCCACCCCCACCACCGGTTGAGGTCTTGGATAGTCTGCCTCCTCCGCGAGGTCATGATCAGGTGAGGACAGGATTGTATGTTGTGAATGTCAAACTTGCCGGCACCTCTTTGGATTCCGGAGTCAAAGTTACCCATGAAATTACTTGTTGATATCAGGCATGAGAATTTTTCTTGGATTCCCAGAATTCCGGGATTTTCCTCTCAGTTTCAGAATGATGTAAAATGCACTTATTTTAATCCTTGTTTTTAAGACCAACCTAGATTGGCAATGTTCCTCCCCAAACAAGTTTTTCTGTTCTCATGTCTGTGATATAATGAAAGGAGGCTAATAGAGCAGCTGTTGATACAGGGAAGCTGGTAGAGCTCCTCTTGATTAAGGCTAGTAGAGCTCCTCTTGATGAAGGGAGGCTAGTAGAGCTGTTGATGGAGGGAGGCTAGTAAAGCTCCAGTTGATGAAGGAGGCTAGTAGAGCTCCTGTTGATGAAGGGAGGCTAGTAGAGCTGTTGATGGAGGGAGGCTAGAAGAGCTCCTGTTGATGGAGGGAGGCTAGTAGAGCTGTTGATGGAGGGAGGCTAGTAAAGCTCCTGTTGATGAAGGAGGCTAGTAGAGCTACTGTTGATGAAGGGAGGCTAGTAAAGCTCCTGTTGATGGAGGCTAGTAGAGCTGTTGATGGAAGGAGGCTAGTAGAGCTGTTGATGGAAGGAGGCTAGTAGAGCTCTTGTTGATGGAAGGAGGCTAGTAAAGCTCCTGTTGATGAAGGGAGGCTAGTAAAGCTCCTGTTGATGGAGGCTAGTAGAGCTGTTGATGGAGAGAGGCTAGTAGAGCTCCTGTTGATGAAGGGAGGCTAGGAAAGCTCCTGTTGATGGAGGCTAGTAGAGCTGTTGATGGAGAGAGGCTAGTAGAGCTCCTGTTGATGAAGGGAGGCTAGTAGAGCTGCTGTTGATGAAGGGAGGTTAGTAGAGCTGCTGTTGATGAAGGGAGGCTGGTAGAGCTGTTGATGGAGAGAGGCTAGTAGAGCTCCTGTTGATGAAGGGAGGCTAGTAAAGCTCCTGTTGATGGAGGCTAGTAGAGCTGTTGATGGAGAGAGGCTAGTAGAGCTCCTGTTGATGAAGGGAGGCTAGTAAAGCTCCTGTTGATGGAGGCTAGAAGAGCTGTTGATGGAGAGAGGCTAGTAGAGCTCCTGTTGATGGAGAGAGGCTAGTAGAGCTTCTGTTGATGAAGGGAGGTTAGTAGAGCTTCTGTTGATGAAGGGAGGCTAGTAGAGCTCTTGTTGATGCAGGGAGGTTAGTTGAGCTCCTGTTGATTAGGCTGACCTGTTTTAGTCTTTTGGTGAATGAATAGCAACCATTACCTATTCTACAAGACTCCCTGTTACCTATGAATTTCTTGTTATAATCAACAAGATGGAGTTTAGATGGAAAAAAGGGATATATTGACAAAAAGATTGTACATAGGGATGGGCAAATATTAGTTTGTACTATATATAGGTATGCCTCGTGCCATTCCTTAAGAGATGACTGTATGGATTATGTGGTCAGATTATATCAATCACTGGTTTGTCTGGTCCAGATAATGATTATTTACAGGCTGGCGCGATATAGTTGGAATTTTGCTGAGTGAAGCGTTAAACAACAAACAAATAAATACGAATGTTGACTGTGGACAGCGTGTGCTGAGACTCCCTACAGCTGCCCCACTGAGTTGGGTAAGTCTAGAGCAGTGCTCAGCAAGGGGAAAGGGGAATGCTCTTTCTTGTAAACACAAAACATTGCAGGTGGGTGCTAAGTACTGAAATAGCTCCCAAACTTATCCATAAATCACGGGACCAGGAATAGCACACTGAAAACTGCCAGCGCAAGTGAATCCTAGATTTATTCTTTCTATCCCTGCGGTTCTGTTTACCCTGAAGTATGTGTTTCCCTGTGGTATTTTAATAATGTAATGCATCTAGCATCGGTGCTTCCCACAGAGCAGTATGGACTGGTGCCATGCAGAGTTATTCTGGGCACAGGATCTGATAATACCTCACGCTCTGTCTGTGGATGTATAGGGGAGTTTTATGTATGAATGTGGTCCCAGGGAGTGAATATCGTAGTAACAGTCTGTGTGATGTTCGTGATAAACAAACCCCCTGATAGTCTGGACCCAGACTGTTTAGACTGTCCACATTTAGCATCAATGAGGAACTGGAGAGTGAAACAATTATTGTTTATTGTATGAAACACATTTTTATTGGCTATCCAATTCAAATAATTTATCCAAAAAAGTTCATCTTAGAGAAAATATTATCAGAAAACAGAACTTAATATTCCCCATCTGGATCAACCCAAGAGAAAGGTTTTGCTCAACCGAAGAATATTATCTGAGTATTGAGGTGTGACTATAATTTTTTCTCAATGTCAGGTTCATGGAGGGCAGGAGTGGCCTGTTCGTCTTAGGCCCTGCAGTTCACTGTGCAGATTTATGTTTCTAGGTTTGTCAGCACCATACCCATGCTCGTGGGTTTCACCAAAGTGGTAAACCTCTGAGACCTGCATCACTTCCTCTCACTGTGATATAACTGTAATACTATTTACTCACTCAGTTAGGTGTGTGGTATATTGTATCTTAAACATGTCTCTTTCTATCCCAGTGGGGTATATGGTAGACACAGGGGTAGACTTAACAACAAATTCATATGAACCAAGCTGGACTTGTTCCTTTCAAAATTTACTGGGCCTTCTCCAAACTAACTGGCCCAAAGCTAACTGGTGGAGGCCACGACTAACTTGTCCAGGGTCTCCGAAACGTTTAGAACTCCTCACCACTGAAACATCATTTCCTGCACTCTGAGATAAAATCTAGCTTCCATTTGCCGCATTTAGTGATGATTTTATGATTAAGTAAAGATGTTGTTGTAAAGAACGTTACAAAATGTCCAGTGGTTGTGTCTTCTACTGAGATGATCTTTGAGCCAACCACTCACACAACCTCATCCCCCCTAATTATTTCTTATTGAAATTACATGATTCACGAGCAGTGTCCAGTTAAAAAAATTAAACATACACAGAGGTGAAATTTTGACTAGCCAGACAGGCCATCTACTTTTTGCAAGCCTTTTGTAATTTTAACTGGCCACGGGCCAACAGGCCAGCAGTTAAGTTGACCCCTATAGACATCCTGTAGCAGAGACTCCAAAACGTGGAGACAGTGTTACCTGGCACTTTCTAGTCACACTGTGACTGACACATTGTGAGACTAGTCTAGTAAGTCTTCTTCTGACTAAGATCTTACCGCCTCCGTGGTCTAGTGGTAGAGCGTCCGCCCGGAGAGCGGAAGGTCCGGGGTTCGATCCCTGGCCGCGTCAGACCAGAAGACGTTAAAAGATGGTACTTGTTGTTACCCTGTCTGGCGCTCTGCATTAAGGGGTTAAAGCAAGGACTGGTCAACTCGGAGTCAGTATACTGTGTCTGAGTGGGGTATTCATGTTAAACTGCGGCATGGTATCTCAGTGGGCTAGCCACACACACACACACACACACACACACACACACGTGCATGCATGCATGTCACTATATAAGTGCATAATCTTGGACGCGACATTAAACCCAATTTCACCTCACCTCACATCTTCTGACTAAGATCTACTGTAAACAAAGCTAAAATACATGTTTTGGGCTAGTAGATTCACAAGTGTGTTTGCACAGACTGCTGACAAGGGCATGATTTGTGGAGGACCATTCTTTAATGTCAAGTAGTTCATTTCCCACTGTGCAAACTACCAACTCAAATTTCATTTTGTTGTGTTCAAAATTAAGTGGCATCCTGAAGTAGCCTTGGAACCCCTGAACATGACATGTTTATCATATTATGACAAGGCCCCCTGATTTGACATATCCAGAGACAGTGAGACACATTAATAATTAAAATGTCTCACCCTAGACAGTGAGATTTGGACCGAGATCCTGGAACATGGTCTCCCTTTAAGTAGAGAACAGAGATGTATACATGACAGGGCTCAAAAGTCCATCGTATCATTTCATCTCTAATCTTTTTCCTTAAATATGACTGATAATTTTTAACCTAATACGAACTGTGCAAAATGCATGGTTGAGCGAGTTTGACTGGGCACAGATAAATGTAGATGGCGGGAAATCTGAATTATTTTGTACTGTCATGAATAATAACTGAGAACATAAAACGTTATTAGATTTAACAGGGTAAGTGAAAATAATGCAGGACGAGTACGAAGTATTATCTGCTTGCCCTGCAGGACAAGTTGGGTTTAAAAATAATTACAAGCCCTGCATGATATGGACAGTATCCCAGTTTTCAGTGTCATGATCATAATGATCAGTTTGAATAAATAGATGTTTAATAGATTCTGTATATTCATGACTATTTACTGACTGACTACTGTTGTACATAGTGTGTAGTTTTGTGTGTATAGTGCTGTGCAAAAGGAAGAGGCTTCCTGTATGACTGTTAATCTTTTATGTAAGCCAGTATCACCTTCCCATGCCAGAGTGCTGCAGACAGCTGTAATGACATCTTCAGATGGTGGTGCTGTCGATTGCAGCATGAAATGTCTTCCAGTAACCATCCTAGGTAGTGAATAATCCATGGTTCACACTCACTGTTGTCTAGGCATGCATATGATATGTCCATTGACAACAGAGGACTGTTCTTTGTTTTGTCTGGGAGACTTGAAGATGTGGATTAATAAATGTTATCATTTGATACTTGTCATTTTTTCAGAACAAATTAATTTTGACCATGAACAGATTTTTTAAATTTCTATCTCAGGCATATAGCATGTTTCAGGTTAGGTATTCAACCTGTTTCCTATAAGCCATGAATGTGACATAGTCAGATATGCAGTGGTGGGGTAGCCTCGTTAAAGCGTTTGCTCATCACGCCGAAGGTCCGTGTTCGAATCGCCACATGGTTACAATGTGTGAAGTCCATTTCTGTGATTTTGCTTGAGTATTGTTACTAACAGCATACAACCTTACTCACCTTGGCACACAGCTATACCTCTGAGTGTGGCTTTAAACAACAAACAAATGATGAACACAATACCATGGAACTATTTTTGGTTTTGATTTTAAAAACTTCCGTTTTGAAAGAAACTGACAAATGTTTGTCGTGACATCTGCAGGAAGCTGGCTTATTACCCTTGTAGAAACAGTATTTCATTAAACATTACTGAGTGTAATTGTTTCCGGTAAGCGTTCTCAGCGTGGGATAATTACTAGTGTTACATCATAGGAGGATGGGATGAGTGAAAATTCATGAGGCCCACCGTTCAGCTTCAATAGTGAGGAGATTACCAGGAAATTATTTTGAAGACATATATCAGTAAAAAACCTTGTTTGCTAATGATCATTGTAGCAAACTGTGGATGTGGTCTTGACTATGAGCCATGCCTACTTGAAAATCACTCAGCAGTGATGCTTAAAACTAAGCATCTATTCCTGCGAGCACAATTGTTTTTATGATCTAATGTACACTTCTGTAGTGACGGAGTCGATATATTAAAGCCATTCAGGGAACAATGAGTTCTACTTTTACATAAGTAACATAGGAGTCATGTTAGAGCCATGCGGGGAACAGGACAGTCATGTTAGAGCCATGTTGGGAACAGGAGAGTCATGTTAGAGCTGTGCAGGGAACAGGAGAGTCATGTTAGAGCCATGCAGGGTACAGGAGAGTCATGTCGGAGCCATGCGGGGTACAGGAGAATCATGTTAGAGCCATGCGGGGAACAGGAGAGTCATGTTAGAGCCGTGCAGGGAACAGGAGAGTCATGTTAGAGCCATGCGGAGAACAGGAGAGTCATGTTAGAGCCATGCGGGGAACAGGAGAGTCATGTTAGAGCCGTGCAGGGAACAGGAGAGTCATGTTAGAGCCATGCGGGGTACAGGAGAGTCATGTCGGAGCCATGCGGGGAACAGGAGTGTCATGTGGATCCAACTGTTAGCAACAGGTTAGGGCAACACCAGTAACATAGTCCTGAGTCATGTTGGAGCCATGAAGGTCACTGTGAGCTGATCTGCAGCCTTGGAACTTGCTGTGTTTGTGATCACCAGTGAATACACTCTGTGCTATGCTGCACTTGCTGAACGTATCATGATGGGGACATTCATGTTAAATTGAAAACACATTTGTACCATGTTGTACTATATCACCATCTTTGTTGTAAGTTTGATTTATGTTTTTAGGAAAATAAAATCCAAACATCCTAAAAGGAGTCAATTAGGTAACACTAAACATACTAAATATATTTTTTATAACAAAATATCAACAATTTTCAGCTGTTCCAATCCAATACATTCTCTCGGAAACCATAACTCTTTCTGTACCTAAACCACGAAAAATGTTTTTGTGATGTTCTTTGTGTTTTACAGGAGCCAAGATCTCAATTAGGAAACTACTATTGCTTATTTTATGTCTTTTAATTATTGAAAAAGTCTAACTTGAGTCTTCATAATCTTATACAGTGTATAAGGGTCCATGTATTCAGCATGTTCAGGCCTGGGCTCCATTCCCCTCTTGGGTCCGACCGCCTCCGTGGTCTAGTGGTAGAGCGTCCGCCCAGAGAGCGGAAGGTCCAGGGTTCGATCCCGGGCCGCGTCATACAAAAAGATGTTAAAAGATTGTACTTGTTGTTACCCTGTCTGGCGCTCGGCATTAAGGGGCTGAGTGGGGTATTCATGTTAAACTGCGGCATGTATCTCAGTGAGCTAGCACTATAAATCGGCATCAGTCCGGACTAGTACAAGCAGCCACACACACACATACACGTGCATGCACGTCGCTATATAAGTGCAATAATCTTGGACGCGACGTTAATGGGTCCATTTCTGCTGCTGCCCACTGTAAGGTTGGTTGAATATTGAGAGAAGCAGCATAAAACCACACTGAGTCACTCACATTTATGTAGTTTGATCAGAGCTCCAGATACGTTTTTGGTGTTGTTGGTATTTTACCCATGCATTTAAAATCATTGGGTATCAGTAATTCTATCTAGGTATACAAATTTCTGTAACCCACTAGTTTTACACATGTGGGTATTTAAGTTAAATATTTAACAACGCTATTCATCTAGTCCCTGCAAACTGGTGTCATGTGGGTTAGAGAGCTTTATAGGACTCACAAATACCACGACACTTCCACAAGAAAGTGTGATGGCAAATGATCATGATGTAACTGTCATCGTGGAGTTTGGCAAGGTTGACGGAATGCCTGTTTATGATTTCAAAATAAGTTGCTGATTCACTAATCGAATACGCAGGGTTACTTCACAATATTTTGATAATACGCACAAGTTTTATTTTTGTAGCGTATCTGTACTGTTCGTTGCATATTTGATACGCTTGGATTTTATTTTACTGCGTATTTCTGCATTTCTGATGCGTATTTTACGCAGATAGGCAGCTTATCTGGAGCTCTGTTGATGTTAACATGTGCCCCTGATGGCTAACAAATAACTCTCTATCACACATGTAGATTAACGCCCCTAGCATTACAGTAAGGGCTTGGGGAAAGGGACAATAATGTGGTTCTGGGGCTAATGGAGGCAGACTATCAAACATACTGTGTTCTAATTAAGTAAAGGGGTTCTTTGGTCCTTAAGGTTGTATGCATGCATACCACAGTCATGGTGCAGGATTAGATAGATATTACATTCACAAAGTGGAAATCTTTTTGCTTTACTCAATTGCCCTATCACCTGTTGTAGTGCTGTATGAAATGGATGATGGAGTGATGGAGTGGAGTGTTGACACAGGGTAACACGTGCTGAGGAGATCCATGAAGATCCGGGGTTAGAATAGGTCTTCAGCAACCCATGCTTGCCGTAAAAGGCGACTATGCTTGTCGTAGGAGGCAACTAAAAGGATAGGGTGGTCAGGCGCGCTGACTTGGTTGATGCATGTCATCGATCCAAATTGCGTGGATCAGTGCTTATGATACCAATCACTGTATTGTCTGGTCCAGACTCGATTATTATTACAGACCGCCATCATATATCTAGAATATTGCGGAGTGCAGCGTAAAACAACAAACCAACCAACCATCATGTTGAGGAAGTAATCAGAGAAGACTAAGGCTTGTCACCACCCTTTCTCAAGTATGTCAGTGGGGACAAGAACAGCCACTCCATATTTATTAGACTAACGCTTAATCAATGAAAACATGTCTTAAAAATGATTATATTTTTTTTCTTAGAAAGAACCTTTCCTCTTCTGCTGTTTTCATATCAAACAAACTAGACTTGGTTAGTTTGATCTAGACTTGCCAAGGCTGTCAGTAAAAAAAAGATACCTAAAAAATATAAATTCCACAGTCATGGCGCAGGAATACATATTCATATGTAACTATATTCTCCTATGGCCTTTGTTATGCATGGACTGACTGACCTACACAATATCCAATGTAGAGGAGACTTTAACACAGTATACTAGTGTGTAAAGCATGTTGAAGCATAAGATTAACTTAAGCATCTTTCTTTTTAATGGGACCATGTGATGGGATGGGATGGGATGGGATGGGATGGGATGGGATGGGATGGGATGGGATGGGAATAGTACATTGATGCATCATGATACACACTATAGTGTCATCGTCCATTTGGGGTTGGAAGTGATCCCCAGCAACTGTTGCTAATAAGAGGTGACTGGTTAGATCATGATGGGGGGACAGATAAAGTGGGTTAATTGTGTCATTGTACCTCGGGGGTATGAAAAGTTGGTCAAAGTATCAATCACTGGTTTGTCTAGTCCATACTTGATTTGTTTACAGGGTTCTGCCATATAACTGGAGTATTGGGGAGTGAAGCCCCGAGGGTATGATAAGTTGGTCAGAATATCAATCACTGGTTTGTCTGGTCCATACTTGATTTGTTTACAGGGTTCTGCCATATAACTGGAGTATTGGGGAGTGAAGCCCCGAGGGTATGAGAAGTTGGTCAGAATATCAATCACTGGTTTGTCTGGTCCATACTTGATTTGTTTACAGGGTTCTGCCATATAACTGGAGTATTGGGGAGTGAAGCCCCGAGGGTATGAGAAGTTGGTCAGAATATCAATCACTGGTTTGTCTGGTCCATACTTGATTTGTTTACAGGGTTCTGCCATATAACTGGAATATTGGGGAGTGAAGCCCCGAGGGTATGAGAAGTTGGTCTGAATATCAATCACTGGTTTGTCTGGTCCATACTTGATTTGTTTACAGGGTTCTGCCATATAACTGGAGTATTGGGGAGTGAAGCCCCGAGGGTATGAGAAGTTGGTCAGAATATCAATCACTGGTTTGTCTGGTCCATACTTGATTTGTTTACAGGGTTCTGCCATATAACTGAAGTATTGGGGAGTGAAGCCCCGAGGGTATGAGAAGTTGGTCAGAATATCAATCACTGGTTTGTCTGGTCCATACTTGATTTGTTTACAGGGTTCTGCCATATAACTGGAGTATTTGGGAGTGAAACATAAAACAACAAACAAACATCAGCCACCATTTTGAAATGAGCTGTAAATCTAGTCGAGTCTTAAATCCCCTGCTAACAGGAACCCGTGAAGATCTCGGGGTAGACAATAGGTCTTTAGCAACCCATGCTTGCTGTACAAGGTGACTATAGTTGTTGTAAGAGGCAATCAATGGGAGCTGGTGCTTAGGCTTGCTGACTTGGTTGATCTATGTCATTGTATTCCAATTGTGTAGATCGATGCTCATGATGTCAATCACTGGATTGTCTGGTCCAAACTCTAATATTTTGCAGACTGCCATCATATAGTTGGAATATTGCTGAGTGAGGCATTAAACAACAAACAAACAAACAAACAAACAAGCAAACAGGAGTTACGTACTGGAGTAGTCAGTATATTGAGGTTCTGAATCCAGGAAGTGCGAGATCAGTATTGGATGAATGTTATCCAATTGGTTTATATCAGTCATATTTTGTTAACCTTGGAGGGTACCCCCTAATCCAGCTATTGATGACACTGGAAGATGCAGTGTTTCAACCCTCCAGAATGTGTGATTACCCTTCTCTTCTTGCAGCCAATCTACGAGCCCCAGAATTTTCGTATGAGAGAGACGACCCCTACATCGGACACATCACAGAGCTCCGACTTGGCTTCGATCCCAGACAAGGGGAGACAACAGCAAGGAATGTCACAGCTCAGCTCCAACCTGTCCGAGCTGGACCAGCTCCTGCAGGACCTCAACTCGGCTCAGTTCCTGTCTGAGGTCGAGAAGAAGTCCACTGGCGGTGAGAGCACATATCTTGTTTTTTACCCCCCATGAGATTCTGAGTTAGGGTTAGTCTCCAGCAACCCATGCTGGCCGTAAGAGGCGATAAAGTGGCCGGCTGGTTAGACCCAGTAGCTTGGGTCACAGCGTGTCATCCTAACCTTGCAGTGTTTACAAGATCAGTCAATAGATTTGATTATTTACAGGTTGCCATCATACAGCTGTGATATTTCTGAGTGTGCCATTAATCACACACGCACAGACACACACAAAAACACACACATGCTTCAAACAGTTGAAGTTGTCAGGAGTCAACAACATAGAGAGCATAAAACACTTTCGATCCAAGACCACCTGGGCCACTATCCTTGAGATGATAACACTGTCATATGAATAGATATGCAAAAGAACCCTTTCCATAATCATAAAAAAAATCTCTGCTAAAGTAAGAGTCCAATGTATGATTCTGAATATTTCATAAACATGAGGGGCGGCCGAGTAGCCTAGTAGCTGAAGCTGATGTTTGCAAAAAGGTGTCCTGTCCTGGTGCCTCCAATCACAAACACATGCAAAGGCAATGCAAGTGTCCTGAAAAAAACACGGGAACATAGGGTACAAATCAAAATGGGGACCTAAACAGCTACATACTGCCACATACATACAGCTACATGGTGTATGCAGGAGTATTCAGGCACTTGTAGCCAACAGGCAGTAAAGTAGAGCACGGGTTGTTTACAGGAAGTTAGTAATTACAGCATGCTCCATTATGTAAATGTGTGTGAGGTGTCAATAAGAGCACATACACCATGCTAGAATTATGCATGAGGCACTGTATCACTGATGTTGCAGAGTTGATTATTCTCTGTCCAGAGGGAAAACACAATGATAATGATGATAATAATAGTAATAGGCTACTATAGTGCAAGACTTTCAGACCATGTCCTCTCAAAGTGCAGGCCATTATCCTAGTCGCTGGATCATTGTGCATTCCAAATTAATTCTCAACTCCTTGGGGAGTATACAACCCAAGTCGCTAGAATGTGTGCATTTACATTACCATTTCAACCTACAGGGAACTCATTAACTGCTAGCCGTCATATAGCTGGAATATTGCTGAGTGCAGCGTTAAACAACAAACAAACAAACAAACAAACATTAACTGCTTGACGAACAGAGGCAAATTTGAACCCATAACACTTGCCTGTGGAGACATCTGTTAGCTGTTGCTTCATGTTGGGCTAAAGTTTATCACATTACTTAACACAAACAATACATGGTTAAAGGGAGATCAACCCAAACATATTCAGTAGGCTTTTGTCAAAATTGAGAATTCTTTTCATATATTCACAAAATAGCATCTTGACCATATATTTTGATAGTATATTGAATGCCTTCCTTATGTTTACACATAGACCCTCTTGTATCGATATATGATCTGGCATAAAATCTTCCCTCAAGGTAACAGCTACATACTCCCGCTGGTTAACAACTATATTCCCCCTCTGGTTAGAGCCTAGTCCTGGACCATGACTTCAGAATATATGTATTTTATGAAAACAACACTAATCTAGATTTATGTAAAAGCTGGTCTATCCACCTATAATCAGCATCAGGAATTTTTATTTATTATTTTTGAGGAGACAAATGTATTGTGTAATAAATGATTTCATAGATAATATGTTAGTCTAGTTCCCGCCATTTTGCCCCACAGCCATATTACCAACTGGTTAACAGCCATGTTCCCCCACTGGTTAACAGCCATATTGCCCCACTGGTTAACAGCCATATTCCCCCACTGGTTAACAGCCACATTCCCCAACCCGTTAACATCCATATTCCCATACTTGTTAACATCCATATTCCCCAACTGGTTAACAGCCATATTGCCCCACTGGTTAACAGCAATATTCCCCAACTGGTTAACAGCAATATTCCCCAACTGGTTAACAGCAATATTCCCCAACTGGTTGACAACCTTATTACCCAACCAGTCAACAGCCATGTAACCCAACTGGTCAACAGCCATATCCTTAAACCAGTTAACAGCCATATTCCCCTACTGGTTACCAACCATATCCTCCAACTGCTTAACAGCCATATTCCCCCACTGGTGAACAGCAATATACCCCAACCGGTTAACATCTATATTCCCAAACTTGTTAACACCCATATTCCCCACTGGTTAATACCCATATTCCCCACTGGTTAATACCCATATTCCCCACTGGTTAACAGCCATATTCCCCAACCAGTTAACAACAATATTCCCCCACTGGTGAACAGCCATATTTCCCAACCTGTTAACATCCATATTCCCCCACTGGTTAATAGCCATATTCCCATACTGGTAAACAGCCATATTCCCCCATTGGTTAACAGCCATATTCCCCCACAGGTGAACAGCCATGTTCCCCCACTGGTTAACAGCCATATTGCCCCACTGGTTAACAGCCATATTCCCCAGACAGTTAACAGCCATATTCCAATACTTGTTAACAGCCATATTCCCCACTGATTAACAGCCATATTCCCCACTGGTTAACAGCCATATTCCCCCACTGGTTAACAGCCATATTCCCCCACTGGTATATGCTATCCCCCTCCCACCAGGGGTTACAGCAGTGTTACACAGGTTAGGGGCATATGCCCTTGATTATGACCATGCTACACAGATAAGACAGACAGTAGATAACCAGTAGTCAACACTGAGCCTGGCTTCTATCTTGCCAGGCTGCCAGGTTCTGGGCCACAGATGCCTTCAGCATGACTCAGGTTACACCAGAATCAGCTTACATCAGCCCAAATTAAACCAGGAACCGAGGAGAAGTTTCATCTCTGCACTTTGTGTGAAGGTGTCCGTCTTATGGTTGAACAATCTCTGTGTACATGTGTTAGTTTCCAGAATTGTAGCCGTGATTTATCTGTAGGGGCTTATATCTGGCCCCATGTCTGTAGCAAATGACTGTAAAATTTCCAAATTCCTCGGAATTTATTTTTATAAGAACTTTTAAAAAGTTTAATGTTGATCAGTATCAAGATATTTTTTTTCAATTTGACTGCCAAAGGCACTTTGTTTCAATTTTTGGATAAATTCCTGTGTACATGGTGTAGAGTGTTCAAAGTTGAACTTTAAATAGACCTATACCAGGTAATTGTAGCACATGATTGAGCAATTATGTCCCAAAATACCAATAATATGAGTTCAACCACAATGTCTGTGCCACTTTCCAGTGGTCGTAGAATTGCCTGATTACCATCCTGGTCTTTGAGCATTATTCCTGTGAGTACAGGTTTGACCAAACCTCTCTGACCTGCATCACTGTGAACTTTCCTTCAGCTGACAGGCCTTGATAAACTGAAATACAGCTCAAAGCAGCTTTCAGCCTAATCTCTATAAAGTTCAATAGAAAATGTGATAAGAAGACTGTTTCTTTTACATGTATTTTTTTTTAACATACATACTGTGACCTTTGTCATCTTTGTGATCTTTGTTATATTACGGAACTGATCAGTCTTTAGCAGAGAGTTGCACCTGGTGCTAGTATATATGTACACCTGGTACAGGTATATGTTGCACCTGGTACAGGTATATGTTGCACCAGGTACAGGTATATGTTGCACCTGTACTGACGTCACATGTTGCACCTGGTATGGGTATATGTTACACCTATTGCTGGTATATGTATACCAAGTACAGGTATATGTTGCACCTGGTACAGGTATATTTTGCACCTGGTACAGGTACATTGTGCACCTGGTACAGGTATATGTTGCACCTATTGCTGGTATATGTATACCTAGTACAGGTATATGTTGCACCTGTTGCTGGTATATGTATACCTAGTACAGGTATATGTTGCACCTATTGCTGGTATATGTATACCTAGTACAGGTATATGTTGCACCTGTTGCTGGTATATGTTGCACCTGTACTGACATGTTGCACCGGGTACAGGTACATTGTGCACCTGGTACAGGTATATGTTACACCTATTGCTGGTATATGTATACCTAGTACAGGTATATGTTGCACCTGGTACAGGTATATGTTTGCACCTGTATTGCCATGTTGCACCTAGTACAGGTATATGTTACACCTATTGCTGGTATATGTATACCCAGTACAGGCATATGTTGCACCTGTTGATGGTATATGTATACCTAGTACAGGTATATGTTGCACCTGTTGATGGTATATGTATACCTAGTACAGGCATATGTTGCACCTGTTGCTGGTATATGTTGCACCTGTACTGACATGTTGCACCGGGTACAGGTATATGTTACACCTATTGCTGGTATATGTATACCTAGTACAGGCATATGTTGCACCTGTTGATGGTATATGTATACCTAGTACAGGTATATGTTGCACCTGTTGCTGGTATATGTTGCACCTGTACTGACATGTTGCACCGGGTACACGTACATTGTGCACCTGGTACAGGTATATGTTACACCTATTGCTGGTATATGTATACCTAGTACAGGTATATGTTGCACCTGGTACAGGTATATGTTTGCACCTGTACTGACATGTTGCACCTGATACAGGTATATGTTACACCTATTGCTGGTATATGTATACCCAGTACAGGTATATGTTTTACCTCGTACAGGTATATGTTGCACCAGGTACAGGTATATGCTAATTTGTTTTTCCTGCCCAGGTTATTAGTTTGTTTATGTGTACTTGGAGAGATAGCAAGTTTCTAAAACCAGACTCTCAAATTAGAAACTCTATATTTATACTAGCAGATATAGAAGATAACACATTCAGATATCTACCAACTGACCTAAAGGAACTGCATTAGAGATGGAAAGAAATAAACATGTTTTTAAAATAGATCAAGCTTTTGCAGATGTGTTTCATGAATTTCAAACTGAAGTTAGAAGCATGGTGTGATCACTGACACTTGCCCTGCCGACATTCCACAAGTACTTTACAACACACAGATAGCTCACAGAGGAGCTGCTGCTAAAGATAAATTAGAAACCAAAAATAACCACTTCCTCTGAAAGCCAGATTCTTGGTTGAAAATTAAAAGAGTTTTTGTGAATTTGGCATGGAGGGATCCCAGATGCAGCATATCGTAATGATAAAACTCTGTTTATATCACTTAAAGAAAAGTGAGCCAACATGATGGGTGACCCCTACGGAAATAACCCCTCCTCATCTCATACTTCATGTCCAGATCCCAGATAAGCATAATTAGGAGCCGAGAGCATCCTCAGATTCATGGCTATTTTATTTTATCACAGGAAAAGAGCCAATCGTGAATGGAACAGGGCGGGCACCTCCCCCAGTAGCTCCCAAACCTTCTCGCCCCTCCGAGCGAGCAACAGTCGAGTCTTTGCTGGATGAGTTGGAAGTGTCTGTCCCATCCCCTCACGGGTAAGTCCACAAAGGGATTTAAACCTTACATTACAGGTTACAAAGTCAGTTCCTTCTGTGATCAGATGCTTATCTTTGAGGAAACTGTACTTGGGTTTTGGGTCCTTTTCAAGTACATTTCATAAAACAGTTTGTGACAGAAGTTGATTGAATGATGAAACGTCTCATGTTGTGTGTAGGGACAAGATTATGCCTAAAGTATTATGGATATATGTTATTGTGAGACTTTTTTTTCATCCAAATTAAACCTTTAAGTGAACTCATATGTAGTTGGATTCAACCTATGTAAGATTGATCAAGAAGTCTTTTTATGTCTTAAATGTACAAATGTGAAATTATGTGTTTGGTGTCGTTTTTCAGAGCTGGTAACGACCTAGGTCACTACTCTGGCCCCTCCTCCCCCCATGGGCAAGTAAGAGGAGGTCCCCCTGCTCCTAACGGCCACCCTGGAAATGCTCCCCCCACCCCTGGGGCATCTACAGCTACCAAGGAGCTGGATGATCTTATGGCATCATTGTCTGAGTTTAAAGTAAGATCTTTGTTCTGTGTTTTCTGATTTAGAGCCCATGCCACTCAACCAGTGGTAACTTTTAGACAACCTGATAAGTTATCTTTTTTCAATTATTAATATCGCTATGTTCATCTCAAGCTTGCTCCATTTTCTGATGGGTTTCCAGCTCTCCGTGAAGCGAAAGTTTTAGATAGATGAAACTCAACTTTGATGCCATGAAGGAAGGATCTCCTCTTTGACTGTACTTTGATGTTTTAGTTAATCTCTTCTGGATTTGATTTTATTAGCAAGAGAGCAGCTTTTCTAGATAAGAGAGTCATCTTGTGTACAGCCAGCAAGTTTTTGTTCCCAGGAGTCAGTCCATTAGTCAGCAGGTGCTTGTTCCTCTAGTGTACATGGAGTCAGTGCATTAGTCAGCAGGTGCTTGTTCCTCTAGTGTGCATGGAGTCAGCCAATTAGACTGCAGGTGCTTGTTCTTCTTATGTGTACATGGAGTCAGCCCATTAGTCAGCAGGTACTTGTTCCTCTAGTGTACATGGAGTCAGCCCATTAGTCAGCAGGTACTTGTTCCTCTAGTGTACATGGAGTCAGCCCATTAGTCAGCAGGTGCTTGTTCCTCTACTGTACATGGAGTCAGCCCATTAGTCAGCAGGTACTTGTTCCTCTAGTGTACATGGAGTCAGCCCATTAGTCAGCAGGTGCTTGTTTTTCTGCTGTTCAGGTTCTTTAGTTAACAGATAGGTTCAACCCATTAGGCCAAACAGTTCATTTTGGACTTGATTATGCCACTTGACTACATTTTATGACAAAGCAGCTTGGTCCTAGCCTCTGACTACTGGACTAGTGGCTGTGTCCAAACTTTAATGAATGTATCTCATGATCCAAGATGTTACAGTTATTGGTGATGGAAATTCGCATTCGCCCACTAGCCTGAGTTAGTGCATCTAATGTTAACTTTTTACTGGGTGTCCTTGTGTATCACTTGTGTATCACCAATTAACATGTCGAATTTCAAGTCAAGTGGGTAAAGCGTTCACTCGTCATGCCTAAGTCCTAGGTTCAATACCCCAAGTGGATACAAAATATTTGCTGGAATATTGCTAAAAAATCATTCACTCGATTGAATTTCTACCACTGGTAATGTCAGAATAGAAAGGTGTTCCAGCTACAAACAATCACTTATTTGTAAGAATGTAACCTTTGAGTGTCAGATAGGGATTTTTTTAGGAAATGGCCTGTGCACATTTCTGCCTTTTTGTGCCAGTATCATTCTTCAAGAGGACAACCAGACTGGGATGTAATGGACCAGATTTGCACCTATTTTTGGTCAGTTTTATCACATGGTCTTCCCCGTTATCCCATTGAGACTGTTTACTGAGCAGGTTACTATAGCTTTAAAATATTTCTAGACTTGATCATTGTGATATTGTCTGAAATCATCTGCCCGGATTACTAAGATAATGTTGCTAATTCTTTATATGCACATGAACTATGTGGTTCAAAGTTTGGTGCTTCTGCACCAAAACTGGGTTGGTGTTTAAAAGGCTGCAAATGATATATTTAATCCCAGACAGGTTATTCTTTCTGTAGATCATGCCAGTGATTCAAGGACTTTAAACTCGACACATATTATCCATGTTGGCTGTTGAAAAGATTTTTAGAATATTTTAAAGTAAGAAATGTATTTTCAATGTTAAATTTTGTGTTTTCACAGCTTCAGAACAAGCCTCAACAAGCCAGTGTAGAACCAGCATACGCCAAACCGAACAAAGGTACAGGACGTCAGGTGACACCGACGAGTCCAATGAACCCAAGTATTCCCTCACCAAACCAGTTGGAGACCATGCTTGGAGACTTGCAGTCTGACATGAACAAACAGGGGGTCAGCACCAAGACTAAGGGTGTGTGTGCTGCCTGCAATCAACCCGTCGTGGGCCAGGTGAGCTAATACAGAAGACATGGGGGTTTAACAAATGGGTCAGCACCAAGACTAAGGGTGTGTGTGCTGCCTGCAACTGACCCACCGTGGGCCAGGTGAGCTATTGCAGCAAACTGGGTAAAATTGACACCAGGATTAATACCAGAACAATGGGATCTGTTGAGGTCTTTGACTCGTGGAACTTATGGAAATGGAAAATAGTTGAGTAGGTAATTACAACAGCTACCACAAAAGTAGGTGAAATAATTGATGCAATGACTAAGCAATCCTTTCTCACAAAAACAAGAAGCCATCTACCCGACACTACATTAATGTAGTGGAACATTCAGATTGGTTCTCTTGCTTACTGCTGGGTTAGAAATGGTCCTCAGAAACCTATGCTTGTCGTACAAGCGACTTAATGGATCAGGTGGTAGGGCTCAGTGACTTAATTGATAGTGGGTGATCGTATCTATAGTGTGGGGGCATGGGTGGCCCAGTCGTCTAAGGCGCCGCGATTCACTGTGCAGAGTTGCGTCCCTTTGGGACGCCAGAAACCTATGATTGTGGGTTTGAATCCCGGTTCGCCCAGATTATGTTTCTAGGTTTGTCAGCACCATACCCGTGCTCATGGGTTTCACCGAAGTGGTAAACATCTAAGACCTGCATCACTTCGGGCTTTCCTCCCACATTAAGCTGACACACCGTGATATAACTGGAATACTGTTAAAAGCGGCGTTAAACCCAACTCACTCACTCGTATCTATTGTTGATATCAATCACTGGTTTGTCTCCTCCTGGCTCAAATATTTACAGGCTGCCATCATGTAGCTGGAACATTGCTGAATAGCATGTTAAATAAACCAAACAACAAACTGACCGACCAGTAGATGTATAGTATATATGATTTGTGAAACTTGTGATTCTGTGCAACTCAAAAGAACTTAAGGTCCACATAATTCTTTCATATTACTATTGTTAATCTGTCAAGAAAGAATCGGGTAGTCCATAAGTTATTTTTAGTCGTATGATTATAAGAGATCATTAGTTACTAGTCTAACTGCTAGGGAAGCTTGCTGATTGTGGCCATATGATGATGTTATTGGGTACATCTGCAGGTGATCACAGCTCTGGGGAAGATCTGGCATCTGGAGCACTTCACCTGCAGCCACTGTAATGAAACACTCGGGACAAAGAACTTCTACGAGCGTGACAATCAGGCCTTCTGTGAGAGAGACTACCACGAACTATTTGCACCACGATGTGGCTACTGCAGTGGACCCATCGTAGATGTAAGTATACGTACACACTTACGCATAGACTGTGTACATATCGTAGATGTAAGGATACATACACACTTACGCATAGACTGTGTACACATCGTAGATGTAAGTATACATACGCACTTACGCATAGACTGAACACATCGTAGATGCAAGTATACATACACACTTTCACATAGACTGTGAACACATCGTAGATGTAAGTATACATACACACTTACAGACAGTGAACACATCGTAGATGTAAGTAAACGTACACACATACACATAGACTGTGAACACATCGTAGATTTAGGTACGTACACACACACTAACAAAGGTTTCAGGTGGGATCTGTTTCAGTAAGATTGGTTCAGATTACCTCACTGCTGATATTAGGAAACAAAGGATAAGATTGTGTGCATAATTAGTTTCCACATTTCTGAACAGACAGATGGGACTACTTTCACGCAAACCTGCTTGCTGACAGCCACAGAGAGATGGAATCAGACAGGCTGTTGTTGATGTCTTCTAGGAAGAACTAAGTAGTTAATTATCTATGACATGTTTTCCCACAAAGCCTTGGATTCCTGCTTTGTTTCAGAAATGTATCACAGCTCTGGGTAAGACCTGGCATCCAGAACATTTCTTCTGCACAAAGTGTGGCCGCCCGTTTGGGGAGGAGGGATTTCATGAAAAGGACGGAAAAGCATATTGCAGGTATGTATTTGGTGACCAATGACGGATTGTAGATGGATGTATTGTAGAAGGGTCTGTTTGTTGACCAAGGATGGATTGTAGAGGGGTCTGTTTGTGGACCAAGGATGGATTGTAGAGGGGTCTGTTTGTTGACCAAGGGTGGATTGTAGAGGGGTCTGTTTGTTGACCAAGGATGGATTGTAGAGGGGTCTGTTTGTTGACCAAGGATGGATTGTAGAGGGTTCTATTTGTTGACCAAGGATGGATTGTAGAGGGTTCTATTTGTTGACCAAGGATGGATTGTAGAGGGGTCTGTTTGTGGACCAAGGATGGATTGTAGAGGGGTCTGTTTGTTGACTTAGGATGGATTGTAGAGGGTTCTATTTGCTGAACAAAAATGGATTGTAGAGGGGTCTGTTTGTTGACCAAGGATGGATTGTAGAGGGTTCTATTTGTTGACCAAGGATGGATTGTAGAGGTGTCTGTTTGTGGACCAAGGATGGATTGTACAGGGTTCTATTTGTTGACCAAGGATGGATTGTAGAGGGGTCTGTTTGTGGACCAAGGATGGATTGTAGAGGGGACTGTTTGTTGACCAAGGATGGATTGTAGAGGGGTCTGTTTGTGGACCAAGGATGGATTGTAGAGGGGTCTGTTTGTTGACTTAGGATGGATTGTAGAGGGTTCTATTTGCTGACCAAAAATTGATTGTAGAGGGGTCTGTTTGTTGACCAAGGATGGATTGTAGAGGGTTCTATTTGTTGACCAAGGATGGATTGTAGAGGGTTCTATTTGTTGACCAAGGATGGATTGTAGAGGGGTCTATTTGTTGACCAAGGATGGATTGTAGATGGGTCTGTTTGTTGACCAAGGGTGGATTGTAGAGGGGTCTGTTTGTTGACTGAGGATGGATTGTAGCATGCGATTTTACCCCCTGCAGGGGGTCGGTGCTCTCTCCATCGTTGCCTTCTGGTGCCATGCCTTCTAGTGCCATGAAAGCTAGGAGAGGATCATGGGGCCATAGGGCTGATCGGGCCCAGGTGTCATGGGTTATTGCACATGCTTTCAGTCACTGGATTATCTGGTTCAGACTTCAGAATATCTGCAGACCACTGTTGTAGAGCAGGGATTTATGCAAGATTCCAAACCAAAGCATCCCCGCAGGCAAATTGGGAAAATATCATTATTTTGTTCAAAATTGGAATTATTTTTTTCAGTTTTTATTTTCTTGAATTCAGTTGGATTTTAACATTGTATTCAATGAAATGATATAAAACTAAGCAGTATAAATACCTTTATTCCTCTGTTTATTGGTTCTGTTATCAGTGAAATACAAAGCCAGAAAATTAGTTATTAGTTATATATATTAACATGAATTAAGAAAAGTTTATTTCCAACAAGGGAAATTTTACTGACTTTTTCTGCAGACATGGGGCTAAATATCTGCTTCTGAGCAGGTCTACATAAATGTCTGTTGCTGTGGTGTTAAACAACATATGCTTAGAAACAACTGATTAGAATATCCTTGTACTGCTATCACAAACTAATGCTTGGGCTATTTTGTGCCCAGGGATGACTACTATGAGATGTTTGCTCCGAAGTGTGGCGGTTGCTGCAACCCCATCATGGACAACTACATCACCGCGCTGAACCGCCACTGGCATCCCGAGTGCTTCGTCTGCTGGGTAAGATCGTAGTATTCACTGTCTCTATGCAACATTATCTTTGAACATTGTGACAGCCTTGACGTCACTCACTATGATCTGTCGCAGTAGTCCACATGTTCTGTGACACCACATAGTAGTTTGTGTGATGTTGTTTGAACAATAGGGGCAGTGGGTAGCCTAGTGCTCAACACATTTGGTTGCTGAAGGTCTGGGTTGGATTCCTCACATGGGTACAACGTGTGAAGCCCATTTGGTTCCCACCATGATACCGTATTCAACGTAATAAGCGCCCACGGCGATATTTGCTGATATATTGGCTAGTGAACAATCCCAATTGGCACCCCTTCGGATTGATCAATGTACACAAAACTTATATTTTCGCGTATAATCAGTGTTCAAAATACCTGCCTGCCCGACCGTCCGAGACGGGTTGATTTCAACTCGGGCTGCCAGATTTTCAAATCCCCCTGCCCGACGGTCGGGTTATATTTCATATGTGAAAATATTCTAAATATTTCCTGATGATAAGCATTAATTCACATGTAAAGATGAATGATAAAATGTAACCCAAAAGAAACCCCGTTAGCTTATCCTGAGAAACATATGATTATAGTGGGCAGGCAGGTTTTGGTCAGGGCTGGCAAGTATTTCAGCTAGCCAGTCCTGTGGTCTGGCTGAAATTTTTGGGAGTTTCATACCCTGGTATAATACGCACTGGTGTGTTATATGCACCCTTAATTATGGGCAATTAAATTCTGGAAAAATATATCTGTCAGACATAAACATTTCAGGCTGTCAGCATATACCATGAAATTTATCTTTCAACTCTGTTTTTTTTCACCAAAATAATATTCTGATAAGAGCCCCCTATTTCTAATTTTGGGAATTATGTCGAATACGGTATTACTGGAATGTTCCAAAATGCGGAATAAAAGCATACTCAATCAAGGCACTCACTAATTGATCAATATCCCTGAAATTTTATCAGATCTCCTGTTTTAGTGCATATCTTTATAATTACTTTCATAAGAATCAGTTAATGTTCAATCAAGAACAGGGGCATTGGGGTAGCCCAGTGGTTAAAGTGATCGCTTTTCACTCCAAAGACCCAGGTTAGATTCCCCACATGGGTACAATGTGTGAAGCCCATTTCTGGTGTCCCCTGTCGTGATAATGCTGGAATATTGCTAAAAGAGGTGTAAGACCATACTCACTCACTCAATTATGAAAAAATATCCACGACCCTTGACTCACAGCCTGTTTCATTGTTCCAGGATTGCCGAAGCCCATTCGGTGGTGGCAGTTTCTTTGACCACGACGGACTGCCCTACTGCGAAACTCACTACCACACCAAACGAGGCTCCCTCTGCGCCAGCTGTCAGAAGCCCATCACAGGAAGATGCATCACGGCCATGTTTAAAAAGTTCCACCCCGAACACTTTGTGTGCGCCTTCTGTTTAAAGCAGCTGAATAAGGGGACGTTCAAGGACCAGGGAGACAAACCCTACTGTCACCCCTGCTTCGTCAAGCTGTTTGGCTGAAGCCCCAGCCGTGTTCACACATGTCTTCCAGGATCGCCATGTAGCATGACGTACGTGACCAGTTACCGACTGAGTACACGCATGCACATCGGGGACCACATTGCAGCTGGTTCTGCTGCTATTTGTATGCAGAGAAAGAAGGACCTTTCTATGCTATGCTTTTTCAGTTATTGGAAATCTCTATAGGATTCGAAATGATGTGATGGATTTGCTAGTGTGATAATTCCGAGTCAGTTGAAGACCGATAAGAAACCACAACACTCTGGTGTGACATGTTGTCATACGGCTGGATGTTCCTGAGGCCGGTGCATGTACAGGATACGCATCTACCAAGGTGTGGGATACAAAGGTACGGAAAGCTTGATCGATGCAGGAAATACTTGCAGGATTCTGACTGGGTACTGGCACAGGAGCACAGGACTCAGGTTCCAGCTGGATAACAGGATACAGGTTCCAAGATACAGGCACTCGTACCAAGATACAGAACAGGATACAAGGACAGTACTGGACTCAGGACAGAGATCAGGCAGAATACTAGATACAGATTAATAGGATACAAGATACAGACACAAAATTATGAGATACAATATTGCCAGATATCTATACACATAAAACACACGTACTGACTGTGTGCACAAAGATGCAAAGATTCAGGATACTGTTCCCGAGACATCACTACCAAAACAATGGATAACTGTGCAGTGATACAAGTGCGATGATCCAATTCAATCCGCATGGATCCTTACTGCCTCTGAAGTGCATCAAGTGTGATGAGGATGTCCCAATACTGACCTCCCCAGCGACAAAGGCATCTAGGACATCTAGGGGTGATCACATGATAGTTTTATTTTTTTTACGAAGTATATTTCCTACCAGTCAACCGAAACACCTTCCTCCATAAGAAACAGTCATGAGTGCCAGTCTTCGTTTCAACATTACATCCGGAATATTACAGCAGCATCACCATCATTCAAAAACTCTCTGGCAGAAAGCTGTCAGTTAGTTTTGCTTGTTAGATGATATTTTCCACACCACCAATCTCACTGCTCCATGTGCATGGCCTGTTACTGAGAAATACATGTATGAAGAGTGGGCACGTTAATCAGCTGCCCTTCTAAGATCTAACCTACTGACATGGTACCATTTCATCTTGGACTCTGCCTGTGTTTCTAGTAACCAGATATAACCGAAAGGATTTTAGAAATATATTTAATGCTTACTCCAACTCACATCAAGGACATAGCCTTCGTTTAATTGTATCATCATGACTGAGGATTGACATAACCTGCAGGTTTTTGAGTTGAATTCAGAGAACCAGTACCAATAAACCGGTTTTCTTTAAACTGGTTCCTACAAACCGGTTCCTATAAACTGGTTCCTGTAAACCGGTTCCTATAAACCGGTACCTGTACCTTTCTACAAGATGACAAGCCTACACTATTCGTCACTTCCTCGCCTGCTGATGAGCGACCTGCCATCAGTTCTCAGTAATACTGCATGTGTCTTTTTCTTTCTGTCACCTTATGACTGCCTATGGAAACAACATCATATGCCTTATTTTAACTCTTTCTCATGACACTTGACTTCCCAATATCTTTCATCAGCTGGCAATAACTTGGGCTTGCTGATCCCTGTCAAAGGGAGACAATCCTTTTCTGAGAGATGTTGTGCTCAAAGGGAGGCAACTCTGCTCATTCAAACAAGGGAGTCCTGAAGATGACTATGTCGACACTTCTGAAATCAAACTTGTGCGTATTGTGATTGTATTATAATCAACAGTATAACTGGTAGCATCTATCCATGTTATATATGTTACAGAGATATGACATAGCCTGCTGCTTTGTGTAAACTGCCATTAATTTCAGAAATGGATATATAAAATTATGTACATAAAACACACTTGTTCGGTGTTTGTTGATTCAACACCGTTTTAACACAGTTGATTAATTGTGCATTGTGTAAACAGGAAGGGAGGTAAGTCTCTTGCTTGGTATTTACTTTGTGATATTTTAGCTGCTTCTATGCAGATAGACAAACTTGCACATGGATACTTCATTGAGATGCATCTGTGTGTGTTCTGCGTTGAGGAGATAGGCCGCAACAAATGAATGACAGGGCCTTTACTTTAAGTAAGGGGGACAGGGTGGTTGGTTGGCTTTATATAACATTTCTACATATGTAATTGATGAGCGGTATATTGGCAGATTCAGTCCTCTTGAATGACGAAAAGAAATCATGAAGTAAGAATTTTTGTTTCTATTTTTGAGAATATTAGGAACTTGGTACAAATTTCTTGCAACATGGATTTGAAAATTGTTTCATTTTTGTAGCCTCACTGAAAATTGTTTTCGGTTTTAAGGAAGTCCTATAAATGTGCTTAAAGTTGATGACAGTTGATGATATAACTGAAATACTGTTCAAAGCGACGTTACACCCAGCTTACTCACTCACTTGAAGTTGATGAAGTGTCCGCCACTGTAATATTGTTGGAGTATTGTTGAAAAATGACGTAAAACCAAACTTACTTATGGCAAACCATGAAATGAATTTGAAAGTTTTAGGCAATATTTTATTTTTTTATCAAAGATGAGAAGCGGTCCTTCTAAACCTTGAACAGTATTAAAAATGGTCAAAATTGTTTCTGATGGTGAAAGTTTTTGATTTGTTGTGGCCTGTGTTTTGCACTAGAAGTCTTTAGTTTCATTTGCACCTCACTCTAACAGATTATCAGTTCTGCTTTGCTCTTGTGCCAAAGCCTTGTGTTAACGGACCCAGTCCTATTGTTGCTGCACCATGCATACATACAGTGTCAACACACAGGATATCTGACTCTCAGTGTGATGACACGTTGCAATATTCTTTGATAAAGTGACAAAGAAACAAACAACTTTTTGAGATAATTTAATCTGTCCCTTGAAATGGGAATTGTTTGATAAATATGATACACTCTATGTGTTCATCTCCATCTGCGTCTCCAGGGTGGGTAGCCTGGTATTTACTGTGTTTGCTCATAACGCTTAAGGCCGGGGTTCGATTCCCCATATGGATACAATGTGGAGCCTTTTTCTGGTGTCACTGTCATCATTGCAGGAATTTTGGTAAAAGTGGCATAAAACCACACTCACACAATTTGCAGGATGCATCCAAAAATATATCTTTGAGCTGGCTCCTTGTAACATCTAATGAAATATTGTTTGTTTGTTGTTTAACGCCGCACTCAGCTATATTTCACCCATATGACGGCGGTCTGTAAGTAGTCGAGTCTGGACCAGACAATCCAGTGATTGATAACTTAAGCATCGATCCACGCAATTGGGATCGATGACATGCATCAACCAAGTCAGTGAGCCTGACCACCCGATCCCGTTAATCGCCTCTTACGACAAGCATAGTGAAATGTTGATGGCTACAAACAACTATGTCTTGTTCATATAATTGCATATTGCACAAGTATATTACAACGTGAGTCACATATCGCTGTTCATCAGTTTATGAATGACTTGTTCCAGCTCTTAATCACAACTTCTGATCTCTTAATATTAGCAAAGTATGCGTGCATAATGTCAGCATTTGAAGTCATTTGTTCCAAGTTTGAATGTTAATTCAGGCTTATATGGGTTTTTACTTACATTGATATATCTATGTCTAATTTTATATCTTTTATGATAATTATTGAGCTTTTATGTATGATTGCTGAAGTGCTACATGTAACCATGGTAATGTTTGTTTCTCAGAGACTACATGATCTTGTGATAGACCACTGAATCCTTGCCTTAATGACGTCTCCGTTGATAAATGATGCTACCATGCAGGCCTATCCCTGGTGAACTTACGTGCATGTAATAAGGGTATTTTGTAGGGAGGACTATTGAAGATATGGTCACTATTGCGATTGTGTTGCAATAGTAACCACACTATTGCAATAGTACTGCGATAGTTGTCAACTATTGCAATAGTAATGCGATACTATTAATCCAGCTTTAAGGCTTGATAGTTATATTAAACAATGTAATAGAAATGAATAAAGTATTGCTGTCGCTTATCAAACCAAGGGGAAGTAACTCTGATAAGAAGTTTGAAATCTGAGTTTTGTGACACATTATTCATGTTCTAATAATGACCTATTGCGACAATTGAAACTATCGATTGCTCTGCCCACTGTCAACAATACCACTGTTTTTTTTAAATACATTACTATATTGTACAATCATATGGAAAACAATTGCAATGCATCAGTAGTTTGAAATATCGTTTTACTCGTAGTACTTTGCACTTCGTAGATTTTGTTTCTAGGTTTGTCAGCACCATACCCATGTGCATGGGTTTCACTACAGTGGTATAGACGTCTTAGACTTGCATCACTTGGGCTTTCCTCCAACTCAAGCTGACATGCCCTTATATAAGTGGAATACTGTTGAAAATAGCGTTAAACCTAATTCACTCACTCACTTACAACCAGCTAGAAGGCAAGTCTCGTGACTTTCTGTAGGGGTTATCTTGGAGTTACTTCTTCCTGAACAACAATTTTTTTGGTGTGAAAGTCAAATAGCATTTTTCTCAAAACAGCACTGGCTTTTCATAGACGACAATCTTGACGTATGCAATAATTGGAGCCTACATCTGCTGCACTGATTGTGACATTTGAGGAGTTTTTTAGCTTGGATAAAGAAATTAGGACAACAGCTTGTGTCGCTACCAAGCCTGTAAGTCAATATTGTATGTGACATGGGCTTGCTGTCAAAGGCAATGTATTTTCTGGATTATAGAAGATGGGATGCATGGCCATTGGAACATGATAATCTAAATACATTTGTCATATTTGTATGTTCAGATAACCTATGGTAGTATTACTTTAGTCTTCAGTACTTAGTACACTTTTTATGTTTGTGGAGGTTATGGAAGAAAATTCTTTGGACAAACAAATGGGTCTGTGGTATTTCTCATTATATACTGAACAAAAAAAGTAAAGGATCATGAAGATACGGGGGATATTTTTTTGTAGTGAAGACAGAGCGCAATTTCATCACAAAATCCCCCAAAGTAGACATGATACCTATGTTGTTTTGTTCAGTATAGAAAGATGCTATATTTACCCTAGATAATCAAGAATAACAATGGCTTTTGATTGTACAGTTATTTAAGTACTTGAACACGTTTGGGGTTAAAGAAAGAGAGAGAGACCATGAATTAATGAGGCTTAAGAGAACAGTAGAGATTATCTGCTCTGAGTAAATACAGGTTTTACATTTTCAAAGTATGCGTTATTCAACTTGTATTTTTAGTAAAGAATTTCTAGGAAGATGTTTGTTACCTGAAGAGATGCCGCCAAGCTGAGCTATTGTTCTAATGATGTCACATGAATATTCATGAGGTAATCATGCTATGCACTGACATGGAAACAATGAAAACACAGAATTATTTTTCAGTGAGAATTACTGAAACTAGGTTCCAGGAGACTGTGCCCCTAATATTGGATTATTTCTGTGTGTGACTTCACAGTAAGTGCCTTCACTGGAGTGACTGGGGGTCACCAGGTCGTGTCTGTATAGAGCACCCTAGCAACATGGAAAACTTGTTGGGGGCCTCTCGCCTGCGACTCAAGTGGAGAATTTCACTGTTGTCATTTGGTAACTGTCATGCACACTCTTATAATAAATGTTTTATCAATACATCCGGTCTGCTGTTTTTTTTTGTGGTGACTGATCTCCTTATGGTGCAAACTCATTAAAATCTGTTCTTAGTTCTCGCTAGCGCTAAACAAAGATCGCTGTCATGGCTAAACAAAGATCTCAGGACATCCTGTCACGGGTCACGTCAGACCGACCTTTCAACCGACAAATTAGAGCCTCGCTTTCCAGATTCGTAAAGTGGCAGAAGGAATGTGTTTTCTGATCTTGCAACCTCCAGAGGTCAACACAGGATATTCCGAATGATAGTTACTAATTGGTGAAACATTTAAAATGGAAGAGAATGTCCATATCCCGTAGGAAGTACTGCCATACAATATCAACCATCTATAAGACATTGTTTTGTTATGTTTTCAAATTTTGAATAGATATTTCTCAAAGCATAATCTGAAACGGACATTGCCAGTTTGAAACAAGCTCTGTAGAGCTCGAGAAAGCTGCTGCTGAATGGATAATGTCGACTTCTTGTTTCGCAATTTCGCAAAAGGTAATTCTGACTTGACCTGTAATTAATGGATTGTCCTCAGATCTTTGTTTAGCAGTAGCGGTGAACCTCACATTGTCAGACAGACAGGTGCTGGTTTGATTCCATATCCAGTTTGAGTCTGAATAAGTATATGTGTTTGAATATATAACCAGAATATATAAACATATAAAGAAATTAATCACCATCCCTTCATTTTCGTATTTCCCAACACTGCCATGCATGTTTTCGACCTACCTACATATGGCATTTGGATTAAGGGACTTAATATATATCATATATTATCCTCTCGGCATATATAATGCAGGGGGATATAGTCGATGCTCGTCTGTCCATCCATCTGTAATCATTTCGTTTTCATGAGCACAATTTAAAAACCATTCATATATTTTTCAACAAGAATTGGCAGATGTATCAAACAGATCCAAAGTTGCGCCATTTGCTATTTATGGATTTTGGGCACTTCAATTTTTCTCCATTTCCATGGAAACAATTTGTACTAAGTCTCATAATGGGGTGGATTTTGTTACTGGAGCACAATTTAAAAACTATTCAATATCTTTCAACAAAACTTGGGGGATATATCAAACAGATCCTGAAGTCCTGCCCTTTGCTATTTGCAGATTTTTTTCATTTTAATTTTTCTCGATTTGCATGGACACAATTTGGACTCAAAAGGTGGTAGTGGATTTCGTTTCCGGAGCACAACTTGAAAAGTGTGAAAAACTTTTTTATCCAAACCTACAATATGTATTAAGCAAGGGCTGAAGTGGTGCCTTTTGCTATTTAGGAAGTTTTCAAAATTTGATTTTTTCCTGTTTCCATAGAAATAACTTAGACTTAGCTGAAACGGAAGTATGTGTTGTTCCCAGAGGAAAACTAAACAACCATTGTACATTTTTTATCCAAACTTAGTACATGTTTAAATCAGGGGTTGAGGTGGCTTTTGCAAAACATTTTAAAACAATTATGTTTTTCCTGTTTCCATGGCAACAAGTGAACTTTGACTTTGTTCATAGTGGTGTGTGCCTGGAACATATCTCTAAAACTAATAGGTATTCTCTCATGACACTTTGCACACACAAAGACCAGGTTGCCAAAAGTGACCTTTTGCTACTTAGGGCTGATTAGGATTTATATTTGTTGCGTTTCGAATGTTCATAGTGGTGTGTTTGCCAGAACCATGTCTCTAAAACTTATAGGTACTCTTTCTTGATTTGTTTGTTTTGTTTGTTGTTTTACGCCGCACTCAGCAATATTACAGCTGTATGACGGCAGGCTGTATATAATCGAGTCTGGTCCAGACAATCCATTGATTGACATCATGAACATTGATCCATGCAATTTGGATCGATGACATGCATCAACCAAGTCAGAGAGTCTGACCAACCGATCCCGTTAGTCGCCTCTTACGATAAGCATAGTCGCCTTTACAGCAAGCATTGCCTGCTGAAGACCTATTCTACCCTGGATCTTCACGGGTCTCTCTTTCTTGAAACTGTGCAAACACAAAGAACAGGTTGTCAACTGGTGCCTTTTGCTATTTAGGGATTTTTAGAATTTATATTTTTTCTGTATGCGTTGAGTATCAAAAGGGGTCTGATGACCCATGGACAGTTGTTCACAATATCAGTCACTGGGTTGTCTGGTCTAGACTTGATTATATATACAGACCACCATAATAAAATATATAACAAAAGCTATAGAAACACCCCATACTTGAACACGTTTTTAGATACTACAACTGACAATCTGTTGCTTGAATAACATAGTTGTGTTTTCCATATCGAACTTCCAGGGTCATTTCAAGTGTTAAACATTGATTGATATTATGCGTTTGTTTGACAATGGGATGCATTTCTTTGATAAGGACTCAACAGCTCATTGCAAGGGTGTGTAGTTCACAGCAAATATTTAGTTTTATGTTGTACATCAATTATAATTTTGAAAATGCCTGACTTACATATAATAATAATAATAATAATATAATAATAATGAGAATAATAATAACAACAATAATGATAATAGAAACAAAACCATTTAAAGCTAGGAAAATAATCACTGAAATTTAGACTTGTCATCATCATAATAATAGTAATAATAATAATAATAAAAATGATAATTAATAATTAATAATAATTATAATGGATGAAAAAAAATATTCAGGGTACTGACATCCTCATACAAAGAATCATGTCAGACAATAGATCCCAGCACCCTCACTCTTCCCTCATATATATACCAATCATAATGGGAGGGCGTGGTCTGATTAAGGTGGAGGCTCTTCATGATAGAATTGTTTTGTGCACTTTTGCAAACATTTATTTGTCTGATGATCCTCTTGTGAAGCTCATGATGAAACAAGGCATTCCGTCAGTTTTTTCTAAAACGAGCCAAGGATGTGGGACATAATCTTAATGTCAGTGTTGATTATATTGATGGTTCTGTACTGCTCGACGGTACAGAAATGAGTGTCAACCAAGCGAAATGAGTTATCAAATCGGCACATGTTCGGTTTCTCAATGGAAGGCTCTCTTGACCACCACTGCATCAAGTTTATGTGCAGAGTCCTTCACTTGGATGAAGTTGGCTGGCCTTAACAGTGAAACAGAAGGCTTTCTGTTTGCTGCTCAGGACCAGTCACTTCCCACTTGAAACTGCAATGTGTGATTTTGTATCAAAATGTAAATATGAAATGTAGAATATGCTAGAATAATGCTAAGATTACACAATACATACACTTGATTTGTGTTATAGTGAATGCCACAACCAGCAAATATCCATGTAAATACAAATATGCTGTGTTTGTTTGTTTGTTGTTTAATGCTGCACTCAGCAATATTCCAGCTATATGACAGTGGTCTGTAAATAATCGAGTCTGGACCAGACAATCCAGTGATTGAATTCATGAACATCGATCCACGTAGTTGGGATTCTATGACATGCATAAACCATCAGCAGGCCTGACCACCCGATCCGTTAGTCGCCTCTTACAACAAGCATAGTCGCCTTTTATGGCAATCATGGATTGCTGAAGACCTATTCTTCCCCGAATCTTCAAAGTTCTACAAATATGCTGTGGTTTGTGTTGACAAAACATATCACCAAATGAGTTGATTTCAGTGAGGCAAAATGTTAACTCGATCACCTGTATATCACTTTAAACTGGATTTGGGGCACGGCGCTGTTAATTCGCTGTGCAGAGTTCCGTCCCTTAGACGTGACAGTATCCTATGATCGTGGGTTCAACTATACCGGTCCTTATTATGAGTCCAGGTTTGTCAGCACCATACCCTTTTCGTTGGTTTCACCAAAGTGGTCGATATCTAGTCTCGCATTACTTTGGCTTTTCTTCCACATCAAGCTGCCACGCTGTGATAAAACTGTTCAAAGCCGCTTTGAACCCAACTCACTCAAACACTCCAGCGACGTAAAACAAGGGGGATAGTATGCAGTTTTTGGATGATATCATGAAACCGAAAAATTGTATTTTTGAACATTTTGTCATTAATAATTACGTATCACAGAAACTGCTGTTCCGATATTGGTCTTGAATGTGGGAAATAGTGAAGGTATGTAGTTCTAAAATTGTCCCTTACTATATTTGACCATTTGTCAAAGCTTCAAATCCACAGCCACTCATACACCAGTTACACGCCTACTATAACTTGCTCGCTCGCTCCCTGACTCTCCTTGGGTGGTGGGGTAGCCTAGTGGTTAAAGCGTTTGCTTGTCACGCGGAAGGCTCGGGTTCGGTTCCCCAAATTGGGTACAATGTGTGAAGCCCATTTATGGTGCCCCCCGCCTGATATTGCTGGAATATTGCTAAAAGCGTGGTAAAACCATACTCACTCACACACTGACTCACCACATCTCAGTCACTCACCTCACCTCACCTCACCTCACCTCACCTCACCTCACCTCACCCCATCTCACCCCACCCCACCCCACCCCACCCCACCCCACCCCTGCTTAAGCTTAAGTTGGTCACCCACGAGGAATAGTTTTGATAGATTTCGTATAATTCCTGTTTTACAGTATCCTTCATATTATCATACATTAGGCCGCCTCCGTGGTCTGGTGGTACAGCGTCCGCCCGGAGAGCGGAAGGTCCGGGGTTCGATCCCCGGCCGCATCATACCAAAAGACGTTAAAAGATGGTACTTGTTGTTACCCTGTCTGGCGCTCGGCATTAAGGGGCTAAACCAAGGACTGGTTGGCTCGGAGTCAGTATACTGTGTCTGAGTCGGGTATTCATGTTAAACTGCGGCATGGTATCTCAGTGAGCTAGCACTATAAATCGGCATCAGTCCGGACTAGTACAAGCACACACACACACACACACACACACACACACACATGCACGTCGCTATATAAGTGCAATAATCTTGGACGCGACGTGAAACCCAATTTCACCTCACCTCACCTATCATACATTATCACAGATTATTAATGCAAATTTGATATATGAGCAGACACCATATAGCCTGAAAATCGATT